TTTAGATGATACTGGGATAAATGTTTTAATTCTTTAGCTTCAGTGACGTCCCAGGAACAATAGGTTAGCCGACTGTATCATTGGTAACATCTATTAAACGTCTGCCCAAGGCCGGCTACGTACGTCCCTCAAAGGCTGGCCGATGGCCGACCCTAAAAAAGCATCTTAATCACATTGTAGAGGTCTATTCAAAGCTATAATATGAGAGAGATCCAACTTCGGTGTTGGCTAAGCTCCCTGGTAAACCTTTTTAACAGGCTGGCTACAGAATTTCAAAAGGCTTACGTGTTAGGTGAGACAGGTAAAATTGCCATAGAATGTGGTTGGTGTGACTTAACGTTTACGCTATGGTGGACGTTGTATCAAAAAATCAAATTAATAGTAAATGTTAGATTGGGTGTAACATCAACAAATCAAATAAATCAATCAGAAAATAGACTCGGGATGAAGCCCTCGAATCCGTATACTAACTAATAACTTTATAAACGAACTTTTCACGTAGACTTCCACTGTAACCTCTTTGTCTTCTTTAAGTAAGAACCGATAGCACCGACCCATCTTAGCCCATTTCAGAAGAGAACACAATTAACAGAACAGAACAAAAATAGTGGAATTAAAATTTCATTTTTTTATTTCAATTAAAAAGCATCCATTGTTACAATGTGAATACATATTTCTGGACAAGTTTCAAATATATCCTGCAAATGCTTTATAATAATATACTTAATCGACGTAAGATGATTAAAGTAACGCTTAGCGGCAGTACTGGACGTAAAATTTAAAACACTTAATTGATTTCAGATATATAGCTATAAAAATCCTGCTAAAAAATAACGACTCCCTGACTTCGGTAACTACTACTGCGTCTGAACTAACTGAGCTAGCGCCGCACAGAACTTCATTTCATGGAGGATGATCATTCATTTGAATGTTAAATTGATTCTTGTAATGGACACAAACGCAACTTGGGCAATTTCTTTTCGATATGACAGGAAAAATTCCAGCCTCCATATGACCAAACGAATACCGGTTCGTAGTATTTTATGAGCTCAGAAATGGCAGAACTAAATAAACGGCCGAGAAACACAATTATTGAGGGCCACTACATAACACCGTTTCAATTACCCTGTAGGCGAATGACAGAATCGGCAGCAAACACTATGCTGTGTTATACGACGGTGAGTATAACAAAAGCTGTTGCGCTAAACCCTTCACTGATGAAGTAGATCAGGGTTTATCTTAATAAACGGGTCTGGTCTAGCCGGCACCTACGACCCACTTGTCGTTCTGACGATGTGGCTGGGTCCATTATAGCAATTGCCAATGGCCTTCAAGTTCCGCAAATCTCTGATAAGCTTGACAATGGCAATAATGTTCACAATTAACAATAGTGATCCTAATAACAGGAAAGAACACTAACGTTAAGGGTCAAATCAGGACAAAATGTATAACAATACTCACGACGGACTAGTTAGCTATTATATTTGAATAACATAAGGTAAGATTACTATAATTACATAATAGAGGAAAGGGGCACTCGACTTTATTTTGGTAAGATTTTAAAAATTGTAAGTGAACTCAACAATTAGGCCCAACTTAATGAGCCTGGTGGTGGAGCTCAACTACTCCAGTGTAGTTCAGCTTTGCCTTTAAACAAAACAAAAATTGGAGCATTTTCGGGCTATTACCTTCAACATAGTGTTGTAGAAGACAATGCGTTTGATAACTTCCCAGCAACATATTATTCGTTCTAATATCTAGTAACGTTGGTATAAATAAAATAACATTTCGTAGCACCCCCTATGAAGTCCGTGACAATGCCAGTTTGCCTCGGGTTAATAAACAGTAGAAATTCGTACAGCTAGCTACAAAAGGTTAAAATTGCTCTGCTGCTATTGTTTGTAATCGTGCGAGCTCGGTCACAACGACGAAAAGGCATATTTTACTATGTTGTCTATACGTCAGGTTTGGTTAGTGCCCCAAGTTGTGTTTTCATTAGAGCACTCTTGTATCAATTGTGATTCTGTAAGTTTGCTTGATCATTGTTACCAGTGTGAGACTGTGCTTCAGTGAAAAGTATTCTGCGAGTAGTTTAGAACTGCAATTGACTTACATTGACGTTAGCCAGTCGTGGAGGATTTTCAAGGTGTACGCACAACATCTATGAATTGAAGTATATTATTTTGTATCTTGTACGTTGTGTAGATTAGCTTTGCTTAGATAAAAATATCGTAGAAGCAATGCCGTCAGTTGTATTAAGTACATGTATTCCCAAATAATATTTTTACTAGGTGAAAGATATATTATAAGCAAAAACAGCTAAGCGAAGTCTACAATGGGCATTACGCAGAGTTTATGTACCCCTTCTTTTTTGTATTTTTAGTTGAATTCAAGTTGTAATTATATCTGAAGATGAGTAATATATATACTCGAGTATTTAATCTAACAAATTTTTACTAATTCTTCTAACCTAACTGTTGCAACGTCCTCTTCTCTTATCTGCGTGCATGTAAGATGATTTCTCTTTCGCGCCTGGGACTTCGAGGTCTGCAGAATTCACCCGATCTTTTAGCCGTTGGCCTTCTCATCGTTTACGCATTTGTAGCAATCTACGTGACATATCTCACCATTACAGCTCATCAAGTGATTACGGATGAACGAGCGTAAACACCGCCAATGAAACATGACTTAATCAATTTAAATTACGACGTGATCACGTAACTGTACGAACTTGAAACACACATCAAATTTATTTTGCGTCCGTCAGTATAACTGTAGTAGCGACCTATGCCGTGAACCCCCTAAATAAATAGTTACATTTTTTTGGTTAGTCAGGTTAACAAACAGCTATTCTCATCTGATAATGCTCAAACACCAAAAGCTCCAAACACGCATCTATCGTGGTAGATTGCGTACTCTACAGCTGTAAAAAGAACGTTTCTTAGTTGTATAATGATGAATCCCAACAACAAAGCCGTCTACTTTTGGCCCAATTAATCGCTCACAATGTCATCACCTAGTTAATTCAGAAAATTCGAACCTAAATTACAATGAAATCGCTTCATACGATCGAGGTCTGTTAGTTCGAAATCACCAACGAAAATGATAGAGCTAGAAACGAATGTAACTCGGAAATCCCACGTGAGAGAAAAGAGATTTAGCGGAGCATTCCGTAAATGTATGAAACTATGATTACGTGTAGGAAAAAATTGAATATACATGCTTCTCACTTTGGATTACACTTTGGAGCTGTTTGTCATAGCTGTCATACGCTCATCCAGCATTCTTGGTTCAACACAAAAACCAGTTCATAGAACAAAACGACAAACTCATCATGACGCAGGTCGGAGGTTTGTTTCTGCTATATAAGCAAAGATCTGGTAAAGTCCAATGTTTTTGTGTCGGAAATACCGCACGCGCAATTTCAGGCTTTAATTAGCTGAAGTCGGAGATCTTAGCTTTTTCCAGGTTATGTGCAGTTTCCGAAAAATCCTAGGGAGGATTCCATATGTCGATGCAAAATATCTACTTAGTAACTCGAAGGATTGAGAAATTAATTTTAAAAAAGGCGCAAAAATAGACATGTAATGATATTGGTACCTCGATTCGGCATTTTTTAAAGTATTATTGAAAGGGTGCATGTCACATGTTTCTGAAGGGTATCTGGTGTACTTTTAAACTCACACAAATGCTTAATGAAAACCCAAGACCTGGGAAACTATCTCTTAGCACTGTTCTCTAAAACAATTTTAGGCGTTAATCATCTGGCCCTCTTCAACATTTCTCCGGGGAAATAATTGTTCGCTTTAACAAAAAGTCGGAGAAGAAACTACAGATTTGTTCATTAATCGAAGGGTGTTTTCATCTTTCTTAAAACCAAGTTTTATATGTGGCCATATCTTAGACTATATAAACTACATACGGTGTTGTCAGGTCGCTCAATTCCTTCCATAAAGACCACACCGTACAAATTTTGTGCAATGGACATTGTGTTGAACGTAACACCATTCAGCTCCCGGTAATACGGGAAACAGACGCAAAAACGTCATAAAGTTTTAAACATGTTTTTTAAATTGGTCATTTAAATTGCTACGTAATGCAAAACCTTAGAAAGCTTAACAATTTAGAATGGAAACTATTGCGTGCAGTGTTTTTCCAAAAAACAGCAGTATCCTTGACGATTACTCTTCAAAATGGTTTACGAATTTAGAAGAAAACATTTTTAAATTGACTTATAGGTGGTTCATGCTCATAAGGAAAATATGTTGGAAGAAAGCGACAGTTACAGTAAATAAGTACGTTTGTGGAGAATGTTCCTTCTTACGCATGCAAATTCATACAGACACCTGTTTTCATTACGATATAACTTAAGGTGATATAAATTTTGTTTTAATTCATTCTATCGGACTGTAAATAAATTACGATTAGGAGAGTAATAAATCGTTTCATTTCCAACAAATATCTAACGTTATCAGATAAGTTAATTTCTACCTTGTGTCGAAATTGATAGAATTTCACGATGAACAAATATTCTCTGAAATATGCAAACTGAAAAGCAACGTTGCCGTATTTAATAAAATGCCTAACTATTTTGCTTTGTATGAAATCGTTAAGCCCGCGAAAGGGAAGAGCACAGGAAGAAATAGCTAGTTTATGTACCATACACACACATGTATTATATAACATGCGATGTATTTAGTCCTTTGGAAAAACTGCCAGTAGTCATGACTGAAGACTTAACAGCATAAAAAACTGCGCAGCCGGTTTTTGTAGAAGCGCCGCTCTGTTAACGCCACTCTCACTATCGGTGTAAATCTGATCATTTCAAACTAAAAGTGAAGAACAAGTAAGTTAACTACTATATCTATGTATCATTTTATATCTGACCGAAAAGACCTGTATGTGTTACACCTTATTTTTTATATCTTGTCATTGCACATGTCTGCAATGTGTCTCGTAAACGCAAATAACGATTGACTCAACCAATTTGTATAAATTTTATTTTATTAAACAGATAGGTTTAACAAATTCACTTTATATGCACGTATCTATTTCTAATAAACCTGAATTTAAGTATTTACAGAAAACTCTAATGAAAAACACAGATGTAGAATATACAAAGGAGACACGAGTTAAATATCTGGCATCTTATAAGTTATTCACGGTTACCACATCATGGGTACTGCCAACAAACACTGTAGAAATTTTAGAACTGCTTTTCACGTTACAACGAAGTAATTTCTGCAGATATCACAATGCAAATGGCCATTCAAAAAAGATTAAGCCTAACTATCAGGTATATGTGTGCGACATGAACACGCTAAAATTAATATGGGCACCTGAGCACGCTAGATCTATATTTTGCTTTACTAACCATGTAGCCTCAGACGTATAATTGAAGGCAGTTTGGAGTCCCCGTTTGAGAATATTTACGAAGTATACTGCTAGAAAAGTTTTTGAATTTCTGTGATAAGACGATGAGAATGTGTTACACTTTAAATGCAATTTCGTTACACACGTCAGCTCTAATTCAGCACCTTCTAACGCTTCTAATTTTCAAGCAATGCGAATGCGATCGTAATAGCACAGACTCCGATCTAAGCAATCCAAACGAACTTCAAAGGTTCACCTCGAGTCAAAGAAGCCTTTTGAAAACCATTTAAATTAATTCAAAGCACTCGTCTTTACATCACCGCACAACTAGCATAATATCAAACTGAGAGATTCGATTTGGCTACTAATAGTTTTTGAAATAAAAGTGATTTTAAACGGTGACGACCTATCGGGCAATATGTCATCAAAGTAAGCATTTTACGAACGCTATTCTTTACCGCATCTAAAGTAATAAAGCAATGCAACAACTTATCCATTTATCAAAAGTGGCTTCGTAATATAAGCCTAATGTAGGCTTTTTCTCAATTCACTTAAATGATACAGGGCAAGCGTTCATGATGTCCTACACTGTTCTCATAGATTTCTAAATCCAGGGAAAATATCATTGCTACAGGGTATAGAGAGAATTCATGATGGCTCTTTATGCGGAATACAATTATGAGACATGGAACTATCTCTAGCACAGCTAAATAATTATAGCGTACCCTAGACGACATTAAGCTATCGTAAGATTACTTCTTAGATGAATTTTCGGATTTAGGAGGGATTCAAATTCTACAAACTAGAAGGAACTACAAATTACTATTTTTCTGTTTATAAAATAACGAAGCGGTTTTAGCTTTTTTAGATGATAGCAGTGCTAAAGGCTTTCTAGCACTTGAAAAACTACTTTGTCGAAGTTGAATTTCATGTCATGAGAATACTCACAGGAATACCTGTAAAGAACACGTTTTTATGCAAACGTCATTTGAAATCAAAATAAACTGCATCCAAGCGTTTACGTTAAAAGAGACACTTTCGTTATAAACATCACATGGGTAGTTTTGTGTTTATTACATTATTCATGATAGTAAGTTTTCTATTTTTCCAACACGCACACTACGACTGTATCTTTACTTTCATACACCGTTGTTTCTTCCCCTATCCATTATTATTGATGATCTTGAAGAGGCTACCTCGTCTGCTTGTGGCAGTCCTTTTTTATAATTTAAGGCTCCCAACAAAAGACCTCAACTTCTAGGCAACGAGCAAATTTCACAGGTCGACAGAGACGCAACGTTCGCAAATGTGCAATGTGCGCAGTTCCAGCTCGCACCGCCGTCCTTTGCTGAGGATGCTGATGCTCCCGAACCGCCGGCGTTTACCATATCAGTGTCAGGATTGCCCATTGAGCTGAGAATGGTCTCAAACGTCTGCCACTGATCACAGCGCGATGCCCAATTTCCACAGGCATTAGCGTCCTTTTTGCGAACGGCTTCTAGTAAACCGTCGAGGGGAATACGAACCACGTCTAGCGTAGAGATGTACAATAGAAAATGGAAATCCCTGGCAGCCGAAAGTAAATCCTTGTTGGCTGTGAAGTTTCGTAGATATTGATTAACCGATGTCAGATCTTGGATCTGATTCACCATACCACGATTCTCTACAGGAAATTGAGGACCCTCACTCCGAAATGTGTTTATGGGCTCGTTCGGCGAGCTTACAGGAACATCGACTAGCAGATATTCAACGGGCAACGGACGCGCATGATTTTTAACCTCGTTGCCGTATTGGTCTTTTGCCGTATAGAAAACGTCAGGAACGTATTGCTCGTTAGATGACTCCCTGACCCAAGCAAGCTCGGGTGCGTCTTGTGTCGGTAACAAACAGTTATCCCTTACCAAGGCCATGCATTGATTGGACACCTGATAGCCCTCCATGTGAATTCGACTTTGTTCGTCGCCAGTAACACATACGGTGACAAACTTTGATCCAAAGTAGCCGTTTGTTGAAAGCCTACACGGGTTAGGATATTTGTTCTGAAATGCGGCCGCAGTTATACACTCCTGTGCTGACAGCAAGTAACTGAAGTGGGTGCTGCGTAAATACCGTACCGTGCCTAGAATAAGATCAGCAATAATTAATTAAAAAACATTTAATAAAAGCAGCATCACCATTAACTGGTACATTCAGCTTATTTAAACCGAAGCAAAATTTTCTCAAGCACAGTCGTGAAGTAAAAACGTCGATGCGGAATATTGGGATGATTGAATAAATGCCGAATCCAGTATGCTTCTAATTTTTATCTAGGTAGATTAGGCAACCATTCCAACTCACTGAATTTGACAACCCATAATTTCGAAATTACACGATCCAAGTACCTTAACGGAATAGTTTACCAACCGCTCAAAGAATATGCCACTAAACACTGCTATATATATATATATATATATATATATATAACTAACCTGTTTGAGTATCCAAAGGCAGCAGATCGCAAAATATCCAGCCTACTCGTCTCAAACCAAGCTTAGCTGCGAGCTCATCAACAGCCCCCTCGTTAGGATCATCAAGGAGCTCGAACTGATCTCTTGCGCAGTGCTGTGGAGGCTCGTAAATTGCAGCTACAACCGCTCGGATACCTAGTGGTACGTCAGCGTGCGTTTCATATCGGCCAAAAAGAATGCCACACCGTTGGAAGGACGAACGGCGCCAGAAATCAAGAAAGCGATCGACTATCTGTCGATTTTCGAACATGACGCAATCGACATGACGATACTTCTGGAGATTCAATGTTAAAGCTGTAGGCTGGCAATTTGAACAAATGCCTGTAATGAACAACGTATAATGGAAATAAAGAGGTTGTTATAAAAAAAAAAAACTTGCCAAAGCTCCTTATACATAATTAACAACCAAAATTTAATATTAAACTTCCATCAACAAACACGCAAATTCAGATGCTAACTTTGCGTACACTGTAATAAAATTTGAATTATCTGATTGTTACGTAAACACTAAACTTCCAGACGATGTCTTAGACTCCTGATAAGCTTACCTTTGGGCCACGGCGGATGTGCGGCACAGTCGGGTTTAATTTTGCATGAGATATTTTCAAGGTTGGCGAATTTTCCTTTATCGGCTCCGCTGGTTAACTTCTTGAGATAGGAATGGAACGACAAATGTTTAATCTTTTTTTCGGCAAGATAGGTTTCATCATAAGGCTCACGCGGTATACAATGGACGCACTTGCCACCCTCGTTGTGCCTGCATAGCGGGCCACGAGCCTGTGCAATTCTGCCATCCATCTTCGCTAGAATTCGATCTACTTCGTCTTCCTCAATCTCAGACCTCTGCGACATGGGCGCACTGGAGCTACTCTGGAACTAACAACGGACGACCCAAGGTTGTCATTACTATCTTCAAAGAACTCAAAGAGAAATGGGTTGACATTTTAAGTAGGGCTAAACAAATATCGATATTGCCAATAATACTGAACATAAACTGGATAATATATTTACTTGACAATGTATTGAATAATGTTAGCCATGTCCGGACAGACTTACCGGGCTAATATTGCTGATTCCGTTTTTACCGTTTGCTATTGGGCCGCCATCTTGATGACCAAGGTCCATCTTTTCATCCGACTGTTGTTGAGTGACTCGCACATAGACAAGGTCGCCATGGTGCAACCCTAGCGATTCCAAACTTCGACCGTTCGCCTGTATTCGCTTGGTGAGGTCCCGCGTTAGATATACATCACAACTAGTGTAACCACAAACAACTCGAACCTAAATTGAGAAAACCCGAACATATGTTTATTTTAACTACATCATACGCCTGGGAGCAGATTCTTGTAGCGCTGATTCGATTGTTAAATATAATTCAAAAACACTCTAATAAAGTTATAAGCCCAGGTAACCGACATTGTGAGGTGGGTAATGCTTGGAAGGTTTGCAACCAAATCATTTTAGCTGCTCCTTTGATCTCTTTTGGACGTAAAACCATCAAGTAACGACAAACGTATTTCTTATTTTTCAAGCACCTTTTTGTATTTGTCACGTGTGTCATATTCGGCGTACTTGCTTAGAAAAATTAGCCCGTTCGGAATAGCTTAGTTTCAATTGAAACCTCAACGAGCTGCACAGATAGAGCTAGAAAAATTATGAACGAAACTTTACGTTAAAGCGGTAACATGCTCGAGAACATGGAGTAAGTCCGAGTTTCTGGAGTAAAATGTAATTAAAAAAGAGTATCTATTTATTAGCACTAGTTTTAAATCATGTCAATAGCCAATCTGAAAACAGTCAACTTTAACTTCCAATTGAAATATAGAGAAACAGTTGTTCTAATACAGAGCAAGGTGGGAACAGACAAAAGTTTGCATAGTTCCTACAGTCAATGCTCTCTTAGATCTTATTTACCTTTGCCAGAAGTACATCGCTTGTATCTCCGCGGTCGAGCTCGACACGCTTTTGCCCATCAGGGCTTTGCACTCTAATCATCATCTGTAAACACGCAGCTTTATATAATTGGCATGATCTGACAGCATTACACAATATCCAGGAAGGAAGCATTATTGAAGAAATTCATTAACCATCTGCGTATAAACTTTAATAAAAGGCGGTTAATTTTCAATCAGATAGAAAAATTAGGTCTCATTAGGTCTCTCTAGTTTTTCCATATTTTCGCACGTTACCGCAAACAAATCGCTGAACGCATGACAAAACAGGGCGCGAAAAAATCCGAGCAACCGAAGGCGTAGACGGACTTGCTAAATACTTTCAAACCTAACACAATCTTTTTGATCATTCAGTAGATATTATAGGCTAGCATCACATACCACTTGTATATGCCGTCCTTGATAAATATCTATATAATAAAAGAGGCGTTTCATTGAGCAATCTGAATACACTGCGCGTAAGGCGACACTTTAATTTTAGATACTTAACATTACCATCAACATCTATCAAAAGCAATATGTTTTTTTGTCATATTACTGATGTGCACACAGATAGATATTATGGAAATTATATTATTGTATATTGTTGTTAATATGATGACTATGGTAACGTTTGAAAAACTAGTAAAAATGGATAAGATTCACACCGCTATCTAAGATTCAACCAAACACGATGTCAAAGTACTCACCTATTAATTTAGATCCTATACTATGCAGAATTGTTAATTGCTCAAATGCAATAAAAGAAAATAACGTTAAACAGACGTGGCCTACAGAGCAATGAAACGACCTCAGTATAATCAACAAATTTTACGACTACCTTGCAAATTGGAAGCACATTCGGTTAATTATGCCCCTAACTAATTAGGCAATAGTTGATCGTTGTTGAACAAACGAAGTGCACTAAGTAAAGAGCAAAATTTCGAAAGTTCGATAGATTAGCTTAGATAATTTTTCCATTTAGGTAGGTTATCTTGTAATGTATAACACGTTAATGAACACCATTTATAGATTTGGCTTCTCTATGTGGGATACAGTAATGTACCGCTTGATCCCATCCACCTTCAAAATATTATACTGCTTACAACTTCACTATGCACAAGTTGTCAATAGCGACGAGATTGACCGGATCAGAAGCTTTCAAATCTTTTCACAGGTACAGAAAGCACTACACCGTAAATGGTAATATCATTAACAGTACTTACTTTGAAGCAAACTATATCGTACAGCCGCTTCGTAGCGGCCTTGCCAAAATGAAGATTCTGCTTGGTCACCAAACAGTCCTTTGTGCCTGCTTGTTTGCTAACCGCCCAAGTTGTTTGCATAGATAGCCGACTAAATGCGCGGAACGGCTGTAAACATTGTGAATTGATCAGAGGCTCACCACAAAGGGCATTTTAAATGGCATTCTTCAAAGTGAACCCTGCGAATTGACTATATCTCTATCACCGGGACATTAGCCGTGCGGTTCGGGACCTATTTGCGGCCTAAAATCTTAAAGGCTTTATTAAACACTAGATTGTGCAGAAACACATCACACCGTGGCGGATGATGACGTCCTCGAATTTGGAAATTCCGCCATCCGTGAATTGGCTCCGTGTGCCTTAATCAGTTTTCTGTGTCGACCATGCAATCAGTGACTCGTAATTGTGCCGGAGAAATTTCGTAAACTAAAACAAAACTAGCATTCAGTCTCTGCCAAACGGCTAACATCGTCTGGTTAACTCGTAAGTGCGTTTTCGAAGTTGAACAAATAAATGTAGAACGTCTTTTCAGCTACTTTTAGTCACCCATGCTTTTGTACTTTACAACTTTAGTAACTGAATTAAGTATATGAACATCCTACCGGTAACTTGAACTCTCCGGTAGGTAAGACAGTTACACAAGTAACTGTCATAAATCGGTGCTGTGATTAACATGACATTACGCGACTTGAGATCTATCCGATTAAATAAATATCCGAATGTCGGTCGATATTCGCCTACCAGACACTGAGTAGCACTCTCTCATAGTCTTGGACTGGTGTAGCATCTATTTCGGTCCTTAGTAACGAATTCGCTCTAGCGGGAGGACCCCGTCATCGTATCGACAGATAATGCTGAATTAGTCCTCCTTAGACTGTTGGTTGCCAAAGATATTACTTTTTTTTTCCTGGTAGTGTGGTAATGGGTGTTGAACATCGCTGTGAAGCAACCAGTTCGAAGGCATTGCGTATTGGCGAGATCATATCTAAATCGGCAAGCAAATGAGTAATCTACTGTATCGGTAAAAGTGACGTGGTATTAACTAGCGTGATAACTCCTTACGTTGAGGAGCTACTAGGGGTACCGAAAGCCTCTTTTTCGCTCTCAACTTATGCACATATGGCAGACTGGTGAAGAATTTAACTGCCTAATTTCATGTGATTAGCTGTTTTCTATTATACCGTCCCTTTTTTTTTATAAAGCTACGGACTCTTTGTACTATAGTTAAGTTTCTTCCTATCTTTCATTGTTTTTATCATGAACAATACTAGAAGCATTATTTTCCAAGCAATAAATGCATGACCCAATTTTTCTTGAGGGTTTGAAATGACTATCCAATAGGATGTATCGGTTTGTCTGCTAAAGTTTGTGTTGTGCTCAAACGCGTAATGGTACTTAAAAAAAAATAGCATCATCCTAAGCTTCAGGACAAATCACTTTCCGTGAATGTGTTCTGCGTACTGATATTAATATAGAAAGAGTTATTAAACAAAGCGGTTCTTACGGCAGTCTCATTATAAGAGTGTTTATGTAAGTATTACCATACTCGTACACCCATCATGTAGCTCTAACAAACTGTTTTAGAAGTATACTAAGAATTAGCCATTTGCATCAGCGTATTAGTGAAATGCTGTGTACTGAGCACTAGTTGAATTCAGAATGGTACTTCCAAATTTCTAAACAAAGAATTTTACTTCTCGGCCTGAAGCTACATAAGAAACACAATGGGAACTCTAACAATGATTGGAAATGCGTAGACTAAGTATTTCATCAATAACTATGTAGTGTCAATTTTGATGAGATTCCGGTCTATAGAAGAAAAAAAAACGGCAAGGAGCTGGCAAAGAACCCATGGTACGACTGGAGGGTAAATAAGTCCATGCGATGTCGTATTTATTCAGTACGCTGCAGAATACAATTCACTCAAATAATTGCTAAGACGTCAAATTATTATTCAGATTAGAGTTTGTTTTATATTACATTGTCAATGACCTATCCGAACTTTATTCACTTTGTTCGTTTGTTTTGGATCCGCTTTGTTTTCATGTGATTTCATCCTAGTTAGAAGTTATAAGAAATAAGTATGGAATAGAAACAGCAGCAACCGAAACTTAAAAATAAAAAAAATAAGAATATGTTCTAAGAAAATTGAATGCAATCCTTGTGAGACTTCAAAGGCTGGTATTTAATTATCTGTTGGTTTGTAATGGCATATATTGATAAGAATGTCTGTCAGAAAAAACGCAAAATGATCTCGTATACTCTGTGATAGAGACGTGAAATAGCGGAAAGATGTTGACCGATGTGCTGATGCAAGGTGTATTTACAATGAACAGCGGATATAGAGTTGGAGGTCTCCTCTGATCTTCAAAGGTTTCAAATGGCGTGATTGCAAAGAATAACTGTCATAATGGTTACAACAACAATCAATGAAACTGCTGCAGACTCTAACGTGATAGCCGCTAACAACAGAGATATTTTGTTAGATTCGTCGGCAATATGCCAATTTCAACTGAGGGTTAAATCGTGTTCAACTCAATAATTTTTTTAAATTTAGAAAAACATTCATAGAGCCTGGTCAAATTTGTGTATACACATGTACTGTTTAACCTCATTTAAGGTGTTCAATTTATTTTAGGTGATTTACAGCGCACCTATCCACGTCAAGTAAGCGTGTGTAAACGGGGTCGTCAAAATGAGTCTACAGTGGACCTTTGTTGCTGGATTTCTTTACGCAGAAATCATCATCGTAGTTCTTCTACTGCTGCCATTCATCTCACCGAAAATGTCAGTGCTAACAGATGGTCAAAGTATTATATAAGAGTATTATAGTACAGGACTTGCCATCAAAGATTTAATATTTAATATTGCATAGATTTGTTCTTTGTTTATCTCTCATAAACGACTCTGTAAGGTAAACTACTAAAGGTTAACGATCCTAAATATGTACAATTGATGTTTACTTCTTGCATAGCTTTATTACATTGAGCTCAAAATCTTTCAGACTATATTTGTCCTCATAGTTAGCTGGAAACTGTTCGAGAAACACAATTATAAAGGTATTGGAGGTCCTACATTGCATCGGTACAATTATTTGGCCTTTGGTCTTTCACGCATTTTGAAAGAACGTCTCAGAATAGCGGCATGGCACTGTAAATTGAAAAGTAATAATATATTACCGTCGTATACGGAAATTGTTTGAGCTGATAAAACATCAATACGAAAAATATTTACGACAGATGTCAATTGAACCTCTGGTGAGGTTCACAGTGGACTCTTCTCCATCGAAAAGCTAAGAATTTCGACTCAATGGGTTTAAGGGAAATGACGGTACTGACGACGAAATTTGAACTTGCTGCAAATCGCAAAGAAAAATTCAAATCATCACGAAAATTTGCTTCTGAGCGAATATTGCTAGCTACACTTTCCGACAAAGTGAACTGAGTTAAGTGTCAGTCAAACGACCGACCAAAGGGGCTATTACAACTTCTGATCAGTAATATCGTAAAATTAATTTTTCCTGTAGCTAAATATTGCAAAACTCGGGAACTATCCAGTTCATTGGTGATAATTATTAATTGATGATGAAATGCATGCTCACATATGTTAAATATTTTGTCTGTCAAGCGAAATATGTTACTCTAAAAATAGAGATACACTTGTCAACATCAATAATTATACAATTGCTTCGGTTTGTTATCGCGCCAGCTCTTTTCAGCGGCTACTGACTTATATATACTTACGGTATTCATTTTTTTACATAATATTTATCAATTACAGATGGTCAAATCTGTTCAAATCAAGGTTTCTGAAAAGCTTTGCCGCCCAAGCAAACCTTTGGTTCATGGTGGCCATAGCAATTCTCGTCTTGTTCTTCGTTGATTCGGTCCGCGATGTGGTGAAATACTCTGCTATCCGAACACATGACCATGACCATCATCATCACTCGCATATGGATGTGGAAATGCAGCATTCCATGAAGATGTTCCGCTCCCAGAGGAACTTCTACATTGCGGGATTCTCTCTGTTTCTTGCACTGTACATATATATATATATATATATATATTATGTAACTTTATTTGTTTGTACTTATTCACGACTGGACCAAACTTAAATTTACTGCAAAACGCCATTTTTTTCCATTTTATTGTCGCTATTCTTTATTTTTTTCTAAATCCAGTTTTCCTTGTTGTCGAGAGATATACGATTAAGAAAAAAGGTTTATACCTTTCGTGAAATAGACAAGAAACCGAAATGTGACCCTTTTATGAAGACCGGTACCTACCTATCTTTTTGTATTGATTGGTTTTTCAGTGTTATTCGTCGGCTTGTATCTTTGATCACGAGCCAAGCCAATCTGATTGTTACAAATGAAGTCCTAGTTAAGCAAGCGCAGAATGCTGCCGCTGCTGCTCAAGCGGCCTTGGAAAGGCAGAACGCTGGTTCAACTAACAGTGAAAACGATATGAAGGAACTACGCAAGAAGCTAGATGAGAAAGAGAAGGATCTTGCCAAAGCCATTAAAGACAAGTAGGTTTTGTTAAAGGTTTTAGCATATGTACTCTTGCTAAGAAATAGTCCAATCATACTTCAATGTGTGTAGGTTGGGCAATCTTTGGATGACTGACATACTAAATTTTACATGTTTCAATATAATGGAACACAAAGCACTCATTAAAGATGAAAGTCGTATCTAATCATTATAAAAACCTCAAAGTTGTTGCCGCGGTCTAAGCGCTGTTTGAGCGCACGACTTTATACGCTAGCTTCACGCTTCGTGTCTGTGATTCCCACTTTATTCCAATTTGTTATAGATTACAGAATTACAGTAAATCGATGAAAGAATCCGTTACTTAAATCTATCAATCTTTAATTTTGTGTGTTTTTATAGGGAAGCAATGAAGGCCCAGGCCCTAAATCTCCAGAAGCAATATGACGAGCTCTGTGAAGAGTTAAACGCAACCGGGAAGTCAGACCAGCACAAAAAATCGGCGTAGAATGACTATCCGCATTTTATCAATGACGCTAAATCAATAATCGCAAATACTATCTAGAGGATGATTACTCCAAACAGAAATAACGTACATCAACGTGTCATTCAGCAATGAAAAAGAGAGGCAATGAATCGATTCGGAAAAAAGGCGGTAAATGAAATTTGGCGTCATTCATAAAAAGTTCGAATCTTCTTCCCGCCAGCAATCAGTATCTTGGCGACAGTTTGCGAGACGTTTTACAGGAGAAGGTTCCAACAGAAGCGGTGCGTTTCACACTGACATTTTCCACCAATATCTACAAAAAGTGATTGCACTCTGTTTTGGATAACTTAAACTAAGCTACTCAAGATTAAGCAATGCACTGCAAACAAAATGAGAAAGAAGTCAGAAATGCTGGCAGTCCTAGCTAATGCATGTTTACTTGTTTAAATTGTATGTTTAATTGCTCCGTCTACTCAATTTATACCTGGCAAGGAAAACTGTATCCGACATGATACAGCGGGTAATGCTGCAATAAGTATTTATGATGAAAAAATAAAGTGTTGTCACGTTCTGTGTTTTTTTAATAATCTGTCTATTCATTCGTTCATTGCTGAAGGCAGAATCTTCGTTTGATTAGTTGAACATAAACCGCCACTTATGTGACTTAACCTGCAGGAAAGCGTCACGTATTAACGTTCAACGGGCATTGTCTTAGTTTGCTCAATTTTATTCTCAAATGAATGCGATTGCAGAGATGTGTGGTTTACAATTATAGAGCTATTATAGAGCTTATTCATAAGAACTTTTTAATGTCATTAGAGCCTTTGGTTTTCAATTTTGAGATGCTTAACTCTAAGGATCTTTAGAGTCTTCACACTTCCTATGCGCTCCAAGTTCTCTACAAACCTCGATTGTGATTTTAAACCAGTGTTCAACCGCTTTCCGTACACGAAATGGAAATATTCCAGCTTCTAATTTGACGCAGTAAATCCTATTTAATCGCAGTATTCTTTCAACAAACGTTGTGATAATCTAGTTCAAAAGCCACTCTAGTTTTTAAATTTCGTGCAACTGGCAATACATATCAAATGCCGATGACGTCTGTTTGGAGTTTATGCTTTATATAACATTTCTTCAACAACTGGGTCAGTATTTGTGCACCTTCAAACAAAATCTGTGTGGTATGTCATAGTAGTACAATGATAGCTTGTTAGCCCAACAATAATAGAGAAAAATAATTCGACGTACCAGTCAAAAAAGGCGCGTACTGCAAATTATAGAAAGCCGAATAAATACCTGTCAATGTTTGTGGACAACGTCTGTTGCGCATCATCAAACACCCACTAACTTCGGAAATAGTTTTGAAAGTACATATTTTCAATAAGGTAAATGAAGTGTATATATCGGAAGTAATAACTTCTTTTGAAACTCTAATAACAAGGCATAAGAAGTTTCTTAAGTACTGTGTTTTTATACCCCTAGAGGTCCGGTTTTTACATTGAACTTCGTAAGTGATTTTAAGCCTTGCTAGACTAATCCTCAATTATATGTTATACCTTTAAATCTCCCCCATAAGCAAAACGTCTTCTGTATATTTTTTAAAGGATTTTTCATTCCCGATTCCACAGTGCTTCTAATGCTACGACCGAGACCCGTATTTCATTTGAAGTTGAGCGAAGCACAGTTATTTTTATACTAGGGAAGTGATAAATTAACCTCAGTTTAATTTTCAGTTTCCAGCAATAATTGTTTTCAAGTACTCATGTTGTTTTACGGAAAATTCGCACTGACAACTCCCTATCGAGGTACTCGGATGATACGTGAAATTTGTATAATCTGCCATGTAAGTTAGAAGGAGTAAAATAATGGAGTTATTTTAGAAGCTATATAGTTTTAGAAAATGAGTATCTTGAAATCAGAGTTATGCGGGCAAAATGTGGGTACGTAAACACCCTGAACATACAAAACTCAAGAATTATTCTTATTCAAAAAGTGATCTATCCTTCTAGGTCCTGACTTAAGCTCTTTTTTGATTTTTTTTTTTATAAATAAGCAAAAAGGTTACACTTATTCAAAAATTATTTGATTACGTTACATCTTGGTAAATAAATAGCTTTTAATGTTTAATTAAGGTTTGTCGAGACTATATTTTGCATGCAGCTTAATTTAAAATAAATTTAAATAAACATACATTTTGCTTCGACCAACAAGTTAAAAAAAATATTAATATTAAACAGGTACCTAGTTTTTTCTGGTATGAGCAATATATCAAGGAAAATGTCATGTGTTGTCAATGTTGGTCTCTTTTAGTTGACTACATTATTAAGCGTTATTGAATACGTCTCAGGATAATGTATGTGCGTCGTATGAAAGTAACCATGTATTAAGGAGTTAAAGTAATACTATAATCTACTTTTGTAGGACGATGTTTATGTATACCATCGAATTGAAGTTTGAACAATAGACCACCTACACTTATTTTAATTTTTATATACATCTGCTATAGTATGTGCTCTCGCTAATGAATCTAGTATGTAAAAAATGTAACCGTCTATTATTTATTCATAATACAATATCCTTAGCGTCCCTGTGTCAACATGTGCCTGCCCTAACCTGCATGACATGAAAAGAAACCGAAATTTTAAAAAAGGGCAGACTGAGCAGACGTCTTGCAAACACCCAACCCAGTGCAGTCCTACGCACTGGTATTTACCAACATATGCAGACGAATCTGTTTCTACCACCATCCGATGTATTTTATCGTAAGAAGAGAGGAATATCCAAAGAATCTGTACAGTCGAAACTGTCGCTCAAATATTGTAGCTAGGTTTATTCAACTGTAAGTATTGAGATTAATATTCGCAAGATTTCGTATTCAATCTTCGTGTGCTTTTTGCATGCGTCAGTAGAGAGACACATATTTTTTTGCCGTCATTATGAAAGTAGAGATGCCACTTTCTATCCAATTAAAAAAAGTACCTTCTTATTTGGCTTCTTTTATTCATGGTACAAGTCAGCGATAATTGCGTTCTGTGATTTTTTATTTTCAAGTATTCACATTATCAGACAAGTCTTGTCTGAAGCTTTGTCACGACATACGACTGTGCTATTTCGATGATATTCTTAATTTTTTAAAAACCTCTTTATTAAAGCGACAAAGTGTATTAGTATATTTTATGTATCACATTGTTCGGTGTGACTTTCGGTGTCAAAAATGCTGGCGACGCGCCGTGGCAAACATTTTTGGACATGTGCATTAAATGAATATCAAACATGTTCATGTTTGCGTTATTCGAGCAGGTTAATATCTGAGCCTTTTATTCGGTTTTTTATACATCCTATTTTACTCAACCTTCGTCATATTAGTAGTGTCTATTATATAAGAGCTAGGAAAAATTCTAGGTTCTTAAATTATTTAGCAGTGTGTAATCTCTTTGGCTGAAATCCTGTGTTTAGAGATACAATATTAAAATGTCATGATAATCTGCTTCTTTTGTTCAATACTTCTTGTTGGGAAAGGTGAGCTCGATTTATGTTTTAGTGCATCTGTTTGAATTTTTTATGAACTATAACAATAGCCATTATAGCTCTATTGGATTTCAAGATATAACAAGCAAATTACATAGAAAGTATATCTATATTTGCAGTGAATCTCTATTACGCACGCTGTAACCTGATATCAAAAGACCTCTAGCTATACAGATTTAAAAAACTATTTTTTTCCAATCGCAATAATTTAAATCGTTGTGATTCTAACGATCAGTTCATAAGCTATAGACGGAATATATATATGAGAAACATGATTGGTAGTATTTGATAGTGTTCGAAATTTGGAAATTGACGTTTTTCGATCTGTTTGGCTGTGTGTGAATGAATGCAGAGTTCAGAACATTTGCAGACTATGTTTGACAGTGAGGAAGAGTTTGATTCAATTATTGCCAAGGGACCAAATGAGGTCGTTGGAAAGTTCATGAAAGAATTGCCCACAGATCTCAGAGATGGAGCCGCTCCCTTGTCAAATTTCACCAAGGTTGGATTTCTTGCGCGAGGCAGTTTCGGTAAGTTAATATTAATCGTGAATAGGAGTGAGGGTATATGTAGGAAGCATTTAAGATCTGCATGATTCTCTTTAGTGTTGTTGGATTGTATATCGCTTTAGGCTTAGTGTAGATTGTCGGGCAGGTTTGCAGTAAATTAAAAACACGTATTAACTCATTTTTTGAAAACGAGAACAATTTTAATGAACGTTTTTACTGACCTTTACCATGGTGGTGGACCGGTTCTATAACATATTGCCAAAAATGAAATATGTCTGAAGGATGAAGTGATTATGCCCAGGCACTGAATTATTTGAAATTAGTTGCGTAGATGCCACTGACGTCAAAAGTGGTGTTTGAATTCCTTAAATTGATACGGTTACAAAATTGCATATCGAATAAACGAGCACATCAGTTGCTGTTTCTTCTTTTCGAAGAGATATTTTGGTAATATAGACGGAAAAATCGCGCAGTTATTCTATAAAGCCTCGTCTTACGCAAATCGTTTTCAGTGATTTTGTTTTATAATTAGGTTTTTACAATCCGGCTTGGATTGTGGTGAAGGCGTTCCCGGTAACTATATTGGTAACCAGTAAACTCAATGATTAATTTTTTTTTTAATCCGCTTCAAGTGTTGTTAAAGCGCCGGTTGATGATTCTCATATAGGAAAATAATAATTCGAATCGCAGCTAAGCGATTTACTGCGGTTATGGCAAGACTGCATAGTACTACTATACTAATTTTTGCTGTACGTTGAACCCGTGTGTTTTTAGGCCGAGTTTATCATGTCACTGCGCCGGATGAAACTCCAATGGCACTAAAGAAGCTGTCATTACAGCAGTCGAACAATCACTGTCATGAAATAGTTTTGAAGGATAGCCTTCGTGAGGTGAAAATGCTGGCTTCCTTAAAGCACCACAACATAGCTAAACTCCACCAAATTGTTGTTGGTATTTCGGACGTTTTCTTGGCCATCGAATTCTGTCCGGTTCAGCTTGCAAATGTTGTAAAGTATAAAGCTCCTGAGCGAATTGTTAAGTCGCTTACATGGCAACTAATGACAGGGTTGAGTTATATTCATTCAAGAGGCCTCATTCACAGAGATATTAAAACCGATAATCTAATGCTGAAAGCAGGTGTACTCAAAATCGCAGATTTTGGGTCGACGGCGGGTGTAAAACAGGCTAAATGGACACCGCAGGTTGTTACTCTGTGGTATCGCCCACCTGAAATTCTCCTCGGATGCGCGCGACAAACGTGTGCAGTGGATGTTTGGTCAGCCGGGTGCGTTATATCCGAGTTACTTAAGGGTAAGCCTCTATTTCCCGGCCAATCGGAAATAAACCAGATCAACCATATCGTCGACCTGCTTGGAACCCCAACAGAGAACGACTGGCCAGACCTCAATAGCTTGTCCGTGATGACCTGTATGGCGTTAAATGAACGAGAGAGGCAATTTGAGGATGAATTCGCCCGGATTACCTCAGATGCGGGCGTAAAGCTTCTCTCTGGAATGTTAGTATATGACCCTGCAAAAAGGCTGTCCTCTTCGGATTCTCTCCATCAGACGTATTTCACTGAGCAACCAAGCATGGCTACAGAAAATGAAGTCGCCCAATATTGTGAACAGCTGAAACGTGTTCAAAAGCAACGTGTACTATATGACGATAGCGACGATAATAGTGAGAATAGTAATCAAGATGATAATGGGCGTCGACTTGGATGTGGTAGAGTCAAAAAAAAATTAAAACTATGACAAAAACAACAAACCCGAACGATACAGAGATTGAGCTGTGAAAACTCGACTTCATCTGCAATTATCATAAAATCTTAGCCAGATAATAAGGCACTGGGACGGCAGGCAGGAGTAGATGCAGTCAAAGCTGTGGTACACATACTTCGGCGTTTTGACGGTGTCACAAGCGTTAATCATAAATGAACTATACTCTGACGCTGCATATCCAAGTCGTATTGTGACAATCATCTTTAGTAGCGTGAAAGTTACCACATGTTAATGTATGATAATCGAGATGATAAAACAACGAATGAACATTAACAGTCCCTTTTTACGAGTGCAGGAATCAACGCATAAATGTACATTTTTGTAATTATATAAGTTTGCTGAAATGTTTGTACACACTGCTGTAAATAAAACTAATGGTTTAAGGCTCAGATTGACTGCTTTAAGGTGTGTCCTACAAGATACTTTAAGCTGTTTATTGGTTTTCTGAACTCTTCTCGCGCACGATTTTGTATGAGTCGAAGGTGAATAACAAACAGTTTTAGCAAATAGCACTAGATAGACACGAGATGGTTTGTTCTAATAATATTTGCAATTTGAGAGTGGAGCAATTGAGCACTGCTACCGTGGCAGATAAAGGGTGTTAGACCTACAAGCAATTCAAGCTTGATAACTGAGTGGCGTTTAATTGGTAATCACTGGCGAAGAATAGTAGCTAATAAATGTAACTAAAATAACTAATTATGATCTCTATTTACGTGAATGACATTTCTATACCAAGTTGCAGATGTTTACCAGTTTCTTGGGATGGTGTTCAGTACGTGTACTTCGATGGAATACTTTCGGCACTGTCTTTTTTGGCATATTCGATTTAAGGTGCACACTGAAAGGGCCTGATTGAGAGGTGATTGAACCTTAGTTACAACATAGTTCAAGCATGGGTTAGAAAGAGTATTTAGATCTCTTTTCAATTCTTTGTCAGGGAAAAATAGTACTGAAACAAGAGCAGTAATAATAACTAAGATTTTGGCAAAAAATGCTATAGTTAAGCAATTGTAGTCCAGAACTTTCAATTTATTTTCGGTTTCGCTGTGGTTTGTAGTTTATTGTATTCTACCTTATATTATTCACGCAGACTTGTCCTGGCACTATATTAACAAGGTAAATATAATAATATTAATGTATATAATAATAATAATTACTATAAACAACAATGTCGATATTTTATCACATATCATTGCAGGCTCTGTTCCTAAAGTCCAAACAGCTGGAGCTGTTCCTTATATGGTCCCATAATATATGAGTACGTGTATAAATATACACATTAGCTTTCATTATAGGAATATATTTGTACGATAGCAATAGCTTCCCACAGTGTTTTACAAATTTGCGAAACAAATTTTGCCTATAAGTACTAAACTTTCACTCCTATCGTACACCGTGGAAATCCGGTACGTATATTATAGCTCGACAAATGATATTCGTTACCGAAGCTGCTCTCCAATTTGATGTATCAATTTCTGTATTGCTCGTTTCTATTTTGTATTTGAAAATCCATTAATAATTTGTGTCGGTTTGCTCCCTAGACGTTGATGTCCTATCACTGGGTTTCATGAATGGTTCCATTGATTAACTTTATTGGAAATCCATGTTGCTTCATTACCAACAGCTCGATAATCACGCATAGATAGAATGCCGGGTTTGCAAGAGGCTTCCTTTGTTTGTTCGTAGATGAATCGTGTATAAAGTCCTACTCGGGTGTACACACCGTACACGTTAGCCAGGCCGCATTTTTTACCGAACGACACCACTCCCACTAGAAGAGGCGCCGACTGATATTTCACTATGAAGGGACCACCCGAATCACCCTAGAAGGGTCCACAGAAATAAACAAAACCGGTAAAGCATCAACGGGTAAAGCAGTAATTGTGAGCGCTGAAAATATTTGTGCGTGTGTGATACCACTGTTAATTAACAGATGGCTGTTATTGTTTACAATGCACGGAACCCCAACTCATACTGAGTTGGGCTTCCGTGCATTGTAAACCTAACATTACCGATCGATTTGACCGTTCCCAATGTTTTTCACGACTGAAGCTGCTTTTCTCTACCTTAACCTAGAACTATCGTACTTATTCTAGACAACGGAATCCAAACGACAGGAGCAACACGAAAGATATAGTCTGTATTTATCCTACACCACTATATAGAATTTTCCCAATCTATTCCAATGGAACCATTATTTCGTAAAGGTTATTTAATTACAGACGATATAATTAATACTCTTGTTCGTAATCCCCTCTGTTTAGGAGGAACTCTGGTAACACTATCAGGGTGAGCAGGTTCTGCTCAACCTGATACTGCCTGTATATAAACATCACCACGACAAAAGCAATGACGTTTGAAAAAAACAATCGGCTCATTCAAATCAATCAATCTATGCCGGGAAGTGAGCCCGTTGAGTTCGTAAACTATTTTCCGTATCTGGGCTGGTGCTAAGGAACCCCGCTTTCTTAAATTATATAAATTAACGAATTATAAAAATTTTGAAAGCTAACAATTATCCGAAACTATCGCGTAATCCTTTCTTGCATCCATTTTATTTCGAAAATTATTTTCATCGCTAAATACACCGTCACAAAACAGATTAGTTTACTCAGCCGCTCCTATTCCGTTTCCTACTCAGAGTTGATTCAATCGTAAGAAAAATAAGCTTGTGCATAGCGTTTATCGAATTTGTATAACACTAAGAAAAAAATATCACGAATGGTTCTGGACTTATGTCAAACAAAAGTTATGGCAATTAACTTTGTTCCATGGCCAGCGAGCCAATCGTTACTTCGAGTTTCGATATGCAGTACATGAATTCCACCACGCGATTTGAAATCGCGGACCAATACTGATGGTAAATCTCTGTGAAGATCACTGTCCAAAATATCATTTGTCACTTTGTTACAATGCTATGTCGCCTAAGTTTGTTAATCTATATATACACACACTGCACTTGACTAACAAACGAATTTTGTGGAGTATATAAATCTACGCGCTAATGAACGTAGGATATAATAACCTCGCTAACGGGTTATAAACGTAAACCGTGAAAATGACTGAATTAAGCAAGAAATATGTGTGAGCGGTGGTGGGCTTATGTTGAGAACAATTGTTACTATTTGTACATAAAGTTTATTTTGTATCTTAAACTGAGTTTAATTTTCGAAAGAGTATTAATCACCAGCATGATTTAGTTTAATAGAATATACAAAGGTAGCCCCCGAAAGCCTACACCTTGGAATTCGGTCGGTACAAAAATTAGCAATCCAAATCGAACCAAATTTCAAGGCCGCCTGTCTTTTTAAAATGATGGGAATTCAAATGTGTTCATTTTTAAAATTAACCATATTGGGAAACACCTTTTTTTTTAATTTTTGAATTACTATTTCGCACTGCAGTACAACTGGAAGTAAAACATATGCACCTGTAAAGAAAGCTGTCTTTACACAGAATTTGTTAAGATCGTAATGATTATCTTCTTTTATTAAAATACGTTTGAAGCGTACTCACAACACAGGCATCTCGTTCCTCTAGACCCCCCGCACAGAGCATATTCGTCGATATGCGGTGCCTTAGAGGTCGTTGGCATTCAGTTCGATTTACCACTGGCAGGGTAACATTTTGAAGAGTATCAGACTTTTTACCCTCTCGTGTTGGGAAGAGCATAAATCAAAGTAAGGAAACGAAGATAAATTATAGTGTTATTCCCAATTATCCGCACAAACTGGAGTCAGCATCCTTTAGCATTCTTTAAATATACTTTTAATAAGCTTCAATACTGTTGCCCTACGAATGAGTCCTTTCGAAGATCCAGTGATAACGTGTACCATATATAGATGAAGAAATCCAGCGTTCGAAATGCAAAAATGCGTTTAATAAGCAGTGGATATTATGCTTGCTTACTAATACAGTATCAAGTCCTATAAAAAATACATAGTTCAATATAATAAGATTTTTGTAGAAATATAACACAATAATTACTCCCTGGGCGCAAAGCAGGTGACCGAAAAGGCCTCGTACACAAAGTATAATAACAGATAATAACCCTTCGCGCAGTACTCACTAAAAGCAATTCTTCCCCAGCCGACGACTTCTCCAGAGGTGCCGTCTTGCACATCGCTACCATATGGTGGAAGGCAAGCTGGCCGCGATGTCCTGCATAGAAGAACAGGCAATCAAAGGTGTACCTGCGTTATTCTAGAGCTAGCCAGAAGAAGAGCGGTCGTTGAAACTTAGATATAAGGTTCAGCGGCCGGTTTCCGTATATCATTCCTATAACTAATAATTGTTAATAGACTGTGTTTTCATTGAAATACATTATAAAAAATTCACACCTTTAATTGTGTGCACACTTTTCATAACATGGTATTTTCATGAGACGTTTGAAGGCGTTAACAAATGACCCTTTTATTTCAAAAGAAAAAAGAATTCTGCCATTCATATTTGCTCGAAGGTCACTGAATAGCTCCCAAATACCACTGTCATTTAAAGGTAGTAAGAATGTCAGGCGAAATAGTTGGCTTTGAAAGGATTTTGTTGGACTATATTAGAAAAACCGGCACGGAATGCTCTATTCAAGGAACAATCATGCTGTTTGTATTTTATATCACCTACTTGAAGAATCAATCGACATAGCATATGAGCTTCAGTCACCTTCCAAAAAGCAACGGTGCATCCAGAGTAAGTACGGCGATGTCATTATTGTATGAAGGTTGATCATAATGTTCATGTCGCTCAATTCGAACGACTCGCCTAATAAGTGGGTCGCTTGGCTTCTCGGGTCCAGTTATATTTGTTCGGCCCACCTCTATCGTTACATCCTGGCTCTGTTTGCTGCAACGGAAAGTTGACGCAAAATAAATAGAAAGTTCCCCTATTAGTAGTTGAACTTTAAATCGGAAATATATTAGAAAGTAAGGCCGTTTGTTTTTAATGATCTGTTTGACTATGTTATTTCGCTTTCTGCCGAGCTCAAATAGCTGTCAAAGCAACCGGAAATATTTGTGCCGTCTAAAGTAAGGAATGGGTATCTGAAAGAACTTGAAGATGTTTGTCAACTTCAAAGCTAAGATTTTAAGGTTCTAATCGGCCATTCGATATAAATCAAGATCTCGGGCGGGGAACAATCCGCTAATTGGACGAAAGGGTAAGTTGCGAGAACTAGCCTATTGTGAAGTCTTTTGAATGTACAGAATTTTATCAAAAGAGCCTGCTTGCGCTGTGGGCTGAACGAAAATGCACGCGGAAAAACGGTTTTTGTTGATTCTCAACCTCTCGTCCGACACTAATCAAGATGGAGCTGCAGTTTCCGCGAAAGATTCATGCTGATATAAAGCAAAGAAAATCATATGTAGCCTCCAAAAATAGACCTAAGCTTGGAATTGGATCAGAACAAAAGACAATGTATCCTGTTTAATGCGACTGTAAGGGTCTTATGCACTGGAAAATGCTTTAGAAAAACAAGACGATCAACAAAAATTCGTATATAGCTCAGTTGTATGGACAGAAAGAACCCGATAGATTAAGCAAAGTCAGTCTTCTCCATGCCGAGCAAATGCCAGCCTGCAGATTCTTTAACATACTTTATATTATGCTGACCACCTTGTGTTTACAAGTTACCTCATATGTCCGTTCAAGAACAAAAAAAACTAATCATATATAGTGTCTTCATGGACAGTGAAGGAGGCTTCAAAAACTGGCTGGTCGAGTTTCTTAGCGCCGTTAATTTTTTTTTTGACGAGAACAAATAGATCAATTAATTGAGAGATAGAAGAAAGTTGTGAAGAGTGACCTCTTTTTTTACCATTTTTTGACCAAGAGTGACCATTTTTTATTAGAATGAGAGTGAAACAATGTTTTCTTTAGGTGAAGAAAAACTGTTACCTGTTTTGCTAACATAATACCCTTATGAGAAGTAGCTTCACAATTGAAGAGTTTAGATTTGACATCTCTTAAAGTCGCGAAGAATACTCAAATCATTGCTATAAAGAGAGGTTTTGACTGTACAACACACATGTAATAGAAGTACTCTAATGCCATTTCTATACTTTTGTAATAATGCTATGTTATAAGCATAGTACAGGGTATTTTGACATTCGTTAACAAAAATATATTCGTGAGCACAGTAGTTATTGTTGTAGCTATCGCATTTTAGAAATATACTAACGTTATGGCATTATAACGTAGCACTGAAGAAATATGAAAATGGTATTAGAGTACCCTGTTACCGAGGTAAATTCGCTCCTTATCGCATTACTTTACTATCGTGACAGATATGATGACGATTTTTTTAACTGTGCAGACACTTTTTCGCTAACTTTTTTTTGGAGACAGACGAGAGACTTTTGTCTCGTATTACATATTTTTTCACTTTGGTTAAACTTCAATTTTTAAAAAGCGTCGTGGTAAATGCGTTCATTTATACAACGCAATCGGATGCCTTCTGGTGAGAAATAGTAGTTCACTAGAAAAACAAGTAAGTAAATGGCTGGATTTTCTGCTACCAAAAGACAACAATCAGTGCTCTCAATAGCTGACATATCTGCTAAGTTCTATGATGAGTCGTCGATTAAAACAGCACTTCGTGACGCCATCTGATGGGAAAATAAGCACCAAAGGTATTCGATAAGCGCAGCATAAGTACTTAATTTTTATAGAGGCGACACAAGATCACTGTCGGAGCATTGAAGGAAATACCCCTAATGAAAGATGATGTGATCATCAACCGCGGACGACTTGAAACTTTTTAACCAAAGAAAGTATGTCACTGTTTTTCTGGACGCGCCTAATATGTTACACGCATGACAATTTCAACCAGGTAAAAACAACTACTGACCTGATCTATTGAGACGGTGCATGCATATACACTAGTTGCAAAAAACAGAAGCATCGTTCCGATATTGCCATTAGGATAATAATAATGTTATAGATTCGAACACCGTAGTTGCAACTGCTCACCACATTGTATCATTTTTTTTTTTACTTGATTTACGAAAATGGAAGTTACGGACGAAACCCCGTCGGTTGTGACTTCTGTCAACAGCCGTGATTACACTCACTTGAGAAGGCAGTGTGAAGCTGTAACGACATGTCTTTCCGTGATGACAGTTCCACCGCAGTAGGGATACGGCTGTCCATTGCTCAAAAATTTGCGTATGCTTACCTAGGGGCAAGAATATCTTGCGTAATTCGCCGCCACCGTTATATAGGCAATACTATTGGTTGTGGAAATGTGTGCACAAGGCAGCTTCCCGTTGACTAACGAACCATCTGCACAGGTCGTATGATCCGGTAAATATATGGACCAGATTTGAATTACACTTCCACCTTTATGCGAGCAAGCTCAACCAAATTAACCAACTAAAAACCAGTCACGTCAAAAATAGTAATAAAACAAAAGCTATTATGTACATTCGAGAATCAGCCTCGTTTGTTCCCTCTCTGTCCTTTCAAAGCCTCGAATGGGGGGCGCGATAATCAGTTCTGTGCTTTTCTACTATACTGGCTACTAACGCTTGTTTAAACAAGACGTTACTTTTATTAATTAAATTTTTCTCGTTCGCTTCACCTTTCCAAGAAAATAGCTAGCAAGACAGATTAGGGGTTATACTAAATACTTACAGCGTATGGATATGCTTCAATGTCAGCGAGGGTGCCCCCAATGACTCGCCTTGTACGGCTGTGTCCAATCAAACCACAAGGGCAAACAGGACCTGCAGTTAAAATTTTTCTCCATATTATCGTGGCAATTTCCGCCGTGTCAACTGGTTTTTCACACAGGTACTCGAAAAAATTGCGTCGCACAAAATACCTCGCTTAGAGTAAAACTTCAATGTTTGTAGCGCATAAGTTTTCCCATCTTATTCCAGTGCAAGCTGTTTTTCGCTAACGTTACAGTTGAATGGCAGCATTGGCTCAATCTGTCATCCTAGAATTATTTAGTTGATTTTCTAAGAAATTCATTTCATTTTTAAGTACAACGGAGCGTGTAATACACCTGAGCTATTGTTAGGGATCCAGTTACGAATATACGATAATTACGATATTAAAATAGGCACTGAATCGGATTGAACAATCAAATATTATTTTACCGATAATTTGAAAATTTGTTTCATCACATACTACACCTATTTTAATGTACCTTAACTAGGGCTTTAAACTGAAGCACGGGTTTTCGTAAGCGTCGGTGAAGGCCTTTGACCGAGCACCTATATAATAAGCTCCAATTCGTTGCTCCGGAGCTTGATTCTCTCATGTATTAGTAAAACTCGATGTAAAAAAAATACAGTACGTGAGGCCTATGTTATGCTTGTATTCAGGCCTCATTTGCTTTTAATTTCATGTGTAGCATTATACTCTATAAAGCAAATAATTCACAATTAATTCAATTTTTACATTACATATTTTTGCATTTACATAAACTTTACTTCACTTACGCCTATCCTCGTTGTAGAGAGCAATCAGCTGAAACAGAACAAAATTATATATCATTAGGATTATAACATAAACTGGCCAAGTACTGAAGCCGAAGTTTGTTTCTCCTTGTTAGTTAACTTGCCGACGTCTTATATATGGGTTAACATCTGGGCATATTTCTGGCAGTCATGTCTCATAAGCAACAATGTTATCCATAGTTAATACAGTTACGCTGTGTGCATTCAAATCACAATCAGAACTGTCTTTAGAATATTTATAAAGCAGCTTGTAAATAGATCTAGACTACCTGTCTAATACGTTGCTCCAAGTTACCAGACATATATTTCTTATATACCCATCTAATTACGAAAAAACCCATTATTAAAGATTTCGATGAAAACGTTTATCAAAATCAGTTCGCGAGAATGATAGACAGCAATATTCACACTACAATATCTCAGACTAAAGTAGTATTACATTGAAAAATAATACCATTGGGCATCCGCTAAAGGCTATTTCATGACTTGTTGACAAAGTAGCGGCCAAATTTATCAGAACAGAGTGTGCCATTAACTCAGAGGTGAAGCTTAACAAAGCCGACTTAAATTATGTCTGAACATACGATTAAGTCATTCACAATGCACAAGATGCTTATTCGCGGTAAAATACACCTAAAGTAGGTGTCATAGTTTTCGGCTGCGTTTCTAAACTGCAGCCGAAAAAATAATATCCGAAAAAATAATAGCCGAAAAAAAACACGATTCCTTCGTTAGCTTCTTCGGCTCAGATTTTGTCCGGATGAATATCATATATAGACTTTAAATTCCATGGTGCCTGATATACCTGATATCTGACTGCGTTCAGTCGTATATAGGCAAGGTTCAAAGTCATATTCGAGTCAGCACAAGAACACGTTTTGGCATACCGTCACCCTAACAGCGGTTATGTGAACGGTGGCTGTCGATAAATGAAATGAACCTAAATTGTTTAAACGTTTAAAGATTGTTTAAATTCAAACGTCTTCTCGCCGCTGTCCATTCTGACAGAGGTGGCTCGATTTTCATCGCTAGAGAGTCCCGTAACATGTCCAAAATATTCCTGCAACTATCTACAGGTGGCAACAATAAATTATTCCAATATCTTCGGGTTGACAACGAACATGTGTTTTATACAGTACATTTCTTCATTCAGCCGAAAAATAGAGCCAACAGAAGGCTTCATAGCGTTGATCATCAAGTAAGCCTTTCCAGGTATAATGACGATCCTATAATTGTTTTCTGCACCAACGTTTATCTGAATAGATGTGTACTGTATTGTATTATAGCATGCGTATCTACCTCTTGCCCCTCAGCAGACACCTATAAACATGGGGTCGTACTAAAAAAAAATATTTCCGTTTAAAGTAGATTCGCAGCGTTAATTGCTTTTTCTGGTTTTTAGCAATTGCGAGAAAGCACTATCGTTCGAAAAGGTTTTCGATTAAGTTAAATTTGGCGAGGTTTTTATCATTATAATAACAAAAAAGTTAAAAGAATAACAAAAGTTCTCTCTTCGATATTACTGTTAACCATTGCTTAAGATCGATGGCCCCTCAAAACAAATTGTGTTGACACATGGTTTTGAGCCCATACCGCCATCTCATTAGATGCCCGAATGCGCGATTTCAGAAGTACTGAAACTGCTACTATATTAATATAACTGCTGGAAATTGCGGTGATTGTAGTCTAAACTCGTTCCAAAATGTTTGTTTTATGTGAAAGAAAAATGAAATCTGACTGAACACAGATCAAAAGAAGTTGTATAACATTTTCAATGCTATTACCAAACCTTGTTCCTTTAACTACTCCGAACTGTACATTATGTACATATGTAATGTATAGAAAAATAAAGCTAACAATATTATGCATAGTCATTTTTGAGCTCTGCTGCATTAGCAGCTCCTTGCTGAAAAAATCGAGAATCCCGGTGCAGTCAAAGCAACCATAATTTTTTCTTTACGAGTAAATATGTACCCTCAAATATAAATCAGTCAAAAAGATCAGTGCGACAGAGACAGAGTGTCTCTACATAAATTGAAATATAGTCATAAAACAAAGGACAAGAACCCCCATATTTAATAGAAGGATGATTTATTATTATTTACACTCCTGGACGGTCATGATCTACTCGGGCCCAAAACAGTGCGTGACTTTATCTTTGGGAGACGACAAAGTCAATCTATACTGATATGTAGGCAAATTGTCGGAAACTCCAGAACCAAATTAGTACTTATGACCAGGGACTTGGACCACTGGGATTAATATTTAGCCCAATTACTCCTTTAGCCCAAATAATGCACACAACTTTGTGAAATAGTTTGCAAAAATCCTCTTAATGTAAGTGGCGTTCTTGGCTTTGGAAGCAGTCGTGAGAGGTTCGTTTGGATATAGGTCAGCCCCATCATTGCGTAGAAGTAAAATGATAAAGACCATCTTACATAATTTAACAAAAGATGAACATTAAAGGATAACTTCCCCTTTCATACGCTTATTGCATTTAGATTAGAACAAAACAAATGCTAATTTAGATATTACCTTAGCGTGGTTGTCTTTATAGGTCGTTTACGGCGAAGGTCATGGCAAACACATGGATCGGCATCTCCGTTGAAAAATGACCTGGTCAAGCCGAAAGAAGCACCATGAAAGACGCTAGAATGATAGAGCTATGAGCGGTGAAGCGTTCGAATACTTCAAAAGTGCGCAGTATGACACTCTAGGAAAACGTAACATTCCTAGCGGAGCCAATGGACGCGGTGAAATAGCCATTGAGTGACAGCGTCTAAGTATATTACTTAAGCGTAAAAGAAGCATGCTTACTCCTTCGTTGGTGTCGATCATTGTCTGCGAAAATGATCAAGTAGCATTGGTCAGCATATCAAGACGCGTCGAGCTGATAATTAGCTTTATCATTACCAGTTAACGATGTGGCTTATGAAAAGCAGTAGTACTTCTCTGTTCAATAGTATCTAATTGAAATACTCGCCGAACGACATAGCGGAGATTAGATGGTGACTGTGAAGGAACAGGAATTATCAAACGCAGGTTGAAAAGAGCTCCTACGCTTCCTCTCGTTATATTGGGACACTTTTTAACCTCATAGTAAAATACAGGATAAATATTCGCTAGAGTTTTCTTGAAGTTGAAAACGGTAAAGCTCAGATTATAGAGAAACTTGTGACGCATCGGCTGCTGTTTGCCAACTAACTGCTTTGGTCATAATGTTGTTAAGGTGTGAAACTTTTATTCTGGTCGCGTTCGTAACCGACCTAAAGGGCTCGACGAAATAAATACAGTAATTTATCAAAACCTGTTGTACTCCTTAATTATGTTAGGTTTACTGTTAGATAATTTCTTTAACTGTTCCTTCTTTTGGTTCGCATGCAAAGTAAGTATGGCATAATTTTTATCAGTTGTGTAATTTAACGTAATTAAAAAAAATAGATATTTTTTAGAACTCAGAGTACTTGAAAAATATGTAATATGTTTGAAACTCAATATTTATTGACAATTCACTGCATCTGCGACAGAAATCATTATATCATTGAATTTCGGTTCTAAATTAAAAATAAAGACATTTTATTCAATAACAGAATCTGGGATGGATAAGAATGAAAAGCATATGCACACGCATTGCTACCATTTTGGTTAAGCATTAAAATACGTGTCCAGCGCCGACCTATTAGAAGGCCTGAATAGGACTATTTTACTGTCAAGCAAGGGCCAAAAGAGAAAACGCCAATAAACATCAAATAGCTCTAAAAAAATATCAACTTCCGAAGCGAAAACAGTTATATAATTTTTTGCTTTTGATTAATAAATCTATCAACTTATGTAGATTTTGGATTTTTCTTCATAGATAAATTGTGTGATAGTTACAAAAGACTTGTAGCTTATGTGCTCACAATTTTTCGTTACCGCTTACCGCCCTTGATAGAAATAATCCTGGTAACACACTCTGTGACAGTAACCTCCATTAATTAGTCATTTCCAATGCTAATTATCATCATCATTGAACTGTCGTTGTGCCGCTGTAATTCCATTTCACTCGAGCATAATTTTGGGGTTCAAATTCAGGGGCCTTCCAGATAATTATTTACATTCTTAAAATGCTAAGTACTTAGCTCATCTTTGCTGTGCAGTATTCCGAAGACACAAAGTGCAAGCACCAATCTGGTCTGTGCGAAGGGCACCCCTTTGTAGGTATCAACATGAATTTCAAACGTTAACTTTAACTTGGAAAGATCAGCACAACTTTTAAATCACCCACTCAACCGATTTCTTTTTCCGACTCAACCGAGAAAAACGTCAAACAGTGAATCTGCGTTATTCGTTAATGATTTTACTGGACTCTTTGGTGAAGTATATCTTTCAGCCTTTTTAGAAGCTAATTTTATTGACAATCAAAAATAGAGCAGAAATAAAAGGCTAATCATTTTCGCGGTTACTCTTCTTAAATGTTCTTTACTTGCCGCTACAGATTTAGGGTATCAAGAAGGACGAAACACTCACAAACGAAATGGCTTTTTATATGATTCAAAGCAAGGTAGTGACTAACCAAAACAAGGTAACGCCATCTTTTCCCCCGAAATTATTTTTTTTTGTATTATAGAGGGGTCGATACTCTTGTGCACGGAACAATTATCACACGGCTGATTCAACGGTAACTTCTGCACGAAGTGGGCAATTAATATCTATCAAGTGCTAAGCTACGGACTGCGTATCCATTAGCTCTCTTAACACAGGTAATGTATATAAATGTAATTGGCAACGCTAACTCAAATACCAGCATCTTAAAACATTTTTTCTATAAGACTTGAACTTTACAAGGTCCCAAAAAGTAGATAACTTTAATCAGTCTAACATTCGACCATCAGGAGTACACGAACGCGTCTTTCTCGTTAAGCAACAAAATAGCCACGAGTCGGTCGAATATTCTCATTCGCTTTTGTGTGACGTCCCTTTTGATGATATTTGTGCAATCACGTCAAGAGATCAGAATTTCAGGAAGCGAGATTATACTTTGGGTTAATTGGCATCGCATCTCCTCATCAAACATCCATGTACTATCTAGACACAATCATTACAAATAACGGCATGAAATACCGTCAACAGAGATGAAATACTGAAAGCGAATGTGGGTTTATTTTGCACAACATCTACGCGTTGGGGTTTGTCTCCACGCTGGCTAGATTGCATTCCGTCGCTCACAAACGGTATGCGAAATTCGACAGACTTGCCCAATTTTGTATAATGCAGGCTATCACCGAGCCTTTAGCGGGCGTTATAAACCCTCATCAAGTAATACTCCTGAGAAAGTATTCAATTTGTCATAATGCGTTACTGGAAGCACGCGTTGGATTGACTTCTACTATTAGCCAGCCATTTGGTAGCGGTAATTGCAAATTCTGTTTTTTTTTTTTATTTACAGTGTGCTGCTGTCAAATGGGCTAGTGTATTTTAGAATTATAAGTCGAAATTAGGCAATTTTGTTACGTGATGAGATAAACACGAAAATCAGCAGGAGAGCCTTTCCTTGTACACAGACATTAATTGAAAGTTAACCTTAAGCTATTGCCTTGGGCTTAGTAAAACTCTGGTTTCCGAATCTTATTATGACTTAATATAAAACTAAATGGTCTTTGAGATGTGCTACGATGATACTGGTGATTGATATCGATAATTTATGTATGGCTAAAATATGGCAAGGTGGCTTAGACGACCACAGTGTTGCCAGGGGTCGCGGGTTGAACCTCTCTGTCTTATATATATATATATATTAGTTTAAGCTTATAGGTGCTGTTTTTAATGAGAGATTTATGGAAGTTTGAAGTTTGCTTGAAAAGCATATATTACTATTTACGCACATACATATAGGTAAAAGAATCGTCAGATCTAAGGAGGGCCCTGCACCCTAGACATAGTCGATGACTGGAAAGACTTTCAATTTTTTCAGATGGATCTACTAGAAACGTATACACCACGTCGGCGGGTACCTGTCTTCTGTACATTCCCGCTGGGGAGTGGTGAGGTCAGCAAACAGGCTAAGAATCAGAAGTTCCTCAGATCCTATCGGGCACTCTGGCACGAAATTCATATTAGTAGCGTATGCTTGGCATTTCGTATACATAATCACACAGACATAGTCGCGCATGAACGCCACTCGCTACTGTCATCGTAACAGACTTAGAAGCCATGAATTTCGAAGGAAAGTTTGTCGTGACATCTTCCAACTCGTTTTCTTCCAAATCGCCTTATAGTCGCGTCTCCAACATATCATCATCATGATCTTCTACTTGCTATGGAGAATAAGTATCATTTCGTTTCGGTCTATTTGTCCACAGCTAAATGATCTAAGCAAAATAGTAATTCAACATCTTGATCTGTCTCGTATTGCAAATGCGGACGAAAAACGACTAGTTTAGGTCATCTATCTCGACTGATAATAACACTCAGATGATCCAGAGATGGTCTTCAAATGTAACCGACCATCTGGAACTGTTGATAGAACAATAATAATATGCATATAAAAATGCCAAGTGTGTCTCCATTTACATCTACAAGATATTCCAAATGCAAGGTTAACAGTGGGTATCAGTCGCATTCGTTTTATCCGTTCATTGCACTTGTTAATGCTGCATGGCCTTATTTCGATTCTGCTGACGCAGCTTCACTTCAGTCGTTGCCTAATTGCAAGCTGGCTCTAGAAGATCACGTAGATTTAAACCCAAACAATAAATCGTTGATGAGAGCTAAAAGCCAACCTACTTAATGGTTTGCCCCTGAAAGAAATTACTGGTGTTTCTGTACATTGTTTTTTGGGAGCTTCAGAATTGTAAAGCCTTTCGCATTCGAATACTGAACCCTGCTTATTAAGTTCCACCTTATAATGTTACGGTCCAGACAGGAAGAAGGATAATCACTTAATAAAATGCTGTGTTTTTGTACACCAAGAACTGTTTATCGTGTTTACCTTTTGATACCTAATAACGCTGTGCTTAAAAAAATTGTCCAGAATTTGAGATCCAAAAAAGTCGTAATATCAGTTAAGTGGAGTTCCCATTATACGTTTTGTGAGTTTTTTTGTACGCGGATGGCTGCAAACATGTAAGAGTGTGCTCTAAACCGCTGATATATCGAAACGCTTAACGATATCTTTAGTACCTACATAATGTTCCAATCATGCCTGAACGTTGTTTTTCTGTAAAACGCAGGTCTATTCTTCTGTCCCATCTCTCAGCAACAACAGAAATAAAAGGAAAAGTAAATAATTAGGAAAAATTACCACATCTATTTTTTAGTTGTGACCTTTTTTCTGAGTTCGACGTTAAGAACCTTTTGTGGCGCACGTTAACAACGACACAAATCAACACTTCCCTGCCCAGATGGTTTAAAACGAGTAGATGTTCAGTAACGTGTTTGCTGCTACTTCAAGCAGCATTACATAGTAAGGCCCTTGCGTTCCAGCTCCCAGGACGCATGCAATGTTGCAGGACTCGTAATGCATGTTTGTATCGCTCAAACTGTCCATAGCATTTTCAAAGTGGCCATAGGTACCAATGGAAAATGACCAATGATCGAACGGATGAGGCTTCTTCTAAATATCTTATTAAATACACAATATGTACCTTGATAAACAATCAAGTATTATCAGATTCTTGCTTTTCGTAGCAAGAGATGAAGCTATGTAGCACGATATGCCTTCATATACTTTCATACTGATTGTGGCATTCAATGCGCTGTGCGTTCACCTCTATTAGAAACGTTTCTGACTACAAGCTAGAAATACCCTCGATATGCAAAGCGTGCCCAGCGTCTGACTTGATCATGTGTACATCCGCTTGTACTCTACAATCATTTATGCTTTCATATACTGTGGCGGCCTATTTCGACAGTCCACGCGGCAATCATAGAGGTTTTACGTTATAAAATTGCTGAGTGTCGCTTCAATCGCCATGTTTCAGGCGTTGAATAAACGCGCAAGGTCTCTATTAAATGATCCGAGGATCAGCGTGAATAAACTTCAAGGAGCTTTGTTCAGGGAGCTAGCTTTTTGTCTGAAACACGACGTAGTACGTTTAACTGCGCACTTAAGGTGCCATTCTCTATTTCTGCATTACGGACAATCAACTTACAGGCCAGCATTGTGGCTTTGGACTAAATGTTTGCCTCGCCCCACTAAATCATGAATCATTATGTCATAGCTAAATGAATATGCATGGACATAGACACGAACCGCTGACAAATATTGCACCTTTGCATTTGAGTATGGCGCCACACCGGTTGTAGAAGAACAAAAAACTACTTTCTAATTGTAGGCGATCCGAGGTGACCCAAATACGTATGCAAGAGTGTCGTGCAATTTTGTTGTCAGAATATAGCTAACGGCTCGAAATGGGCTACCAACCACGTTATATCTGCAATAATAATAAAGTGACTCTCGAGACAGACATATTTCATTTAATGACGCATTTTTATTAAGTTCGACATTACATAGGCCCGCTGATTCGAAACCGTTTTATCGGACTCGAAGGTTAGCCGGCCTCGAGCATGATCGAAAGCAGGGTCTACTGTTATGATAAATATAGGTATCGGAAAGCGAACGAGAAATGTCAGTCTGATCCGGGTAGCAAATAATAATTAGTCAGCGTGGGGAAAGATGATTACGATACATTCTGTAGTGGCGGTGCCATGGCAGCAAAAACCTCTTGTTATCATAGCGGATAAAAGTTAGATTTACGCGTCTATGATTACCTATTTTGAGATGTAGTATTTATCAGCAGCATTTTAGCAGTAGCAAGTTATAAAATAGTCGCGTTCCACGCCTTCGATAGCGAGTGATTAGTGAAGTGCATAAATACAGAATCTACAGACTTCTACAGAATTTCGAACAGTAAACGTCTTAAACAGAAAGTTCTTATGTAAAACAATGAGTGCATAAGGATTGCGTTTGAAATAACTCTGCTTTAGGTAAATCATGCTTGACTTCCTCGAAAGTTCTATGGAGCTCTGTCGAAAGGGGCTGCATGAGGCGAAATAGAAGTCTTTTTGTAGAGCTTACCTACGATAGTCTGCTTATTTCCGCTATGCTTATTTTTTACCCATCGATGTACAGATTATAGAACTCAATATCGCAAACAGCAGCTTTGCTGTACAGTGTGATGAACTGGATTCGGGTCATATAGATCTGCCTCTTCTATTCATTGTCAACAATCTTATATGTAAATGCTTTCGTTTAAATTTAACACGTAAATTTAGAATCGTCTAAAGACAATCTAAACATCAGCTCATTTTTACAACCACTTATTTTAAGTACCGAATTATCTCAAAACGCCTACAGTCATTCTTATAGCGAGAGGTGTCCGCCACTTATGCTAGGTAAGTTTCAGATTATAATCTCAACTATAATATAATCTCAAGAAAATTAATTTTCATCTTCACTTACTCGTGAGTTCGATTTCCTGAAGTCATTAACCCAAATGTCGAACTTCGTAACAGCTACCGTATTCAACGTCAAATCAAAGAAAAAATTCCCATATTTAGGTAGCATGGCCATCGTGACGAGTCGTCAAAGACTTTAGGGGTTAATCGGGAGCCGTGTGGAACCGGGTGCACTAGGCTTCAAATGGGTCCAGTCATAGCAGGACAAGCATTTCTGGTTCATATCTCACTTCATTATGTCAGTACTTACCCTTCGAATATCGTCGTGCTTAGGCCGTTCAAGATGCGGATCTTTTGTTGTCCCAACCTTTGCATTAATAGAGTTTACGTTAGAGTCAGCTACGTGGGCTGCAACTCCTGTTACCGGGGGTGCAAATAGCCAAACACTAGCTATTGTAGTGAACACGATCATGTCGGTACACGGTACTGATGTAGATAAGAGCTTCTTAGAATTAAATTATAAAGGTATGTTGGTCTTTTTTTTAGTGAAGTTGGAAAGATAGGTTCTAAGAGATGGGAGCTGCTTCTCGAAATATCCAACGGAACGTTGCATCAGATGCTAGCCAAACGACCTATTGTAAGAACTATAAAATGATGAAGCTGCTTGAAATTAAACAGCCTTCAGCGCCTCGGTCGCGCAGAATCTGCTGGCAGAATTTGCGAGCTGTCGGCGACCTTTTCGTCGAGTGAAACGCCAATTTAGACTTGCACCGACGCCATCTAGAGGACAGCCACGTAATCTGATGCTTGGCAATGAACGAAACAATATGGGTGACGCAATTTGAACTTGACAGAGAGAAGGTTTTTGTGAGTGGGTCGAGCTACCTGCTATCTGTATTCGCCTATAGGCAGGTATATCCAATGAGAATCATAGATCAGTCCACATCAGATGGTATGAACATCGAACCCCTTCTGCCTGCTATGTATGCACTGCAGGCGATGATGATTTTATCGAAATGCGGACATCGGACCCAAAGGGTTCATAGGTTCTTTTGACAGCAGCCGTCCTTTATCCAACCGAAGTTATGGCAAGAACTAGATGATCGAGATGAAATATACTTCGTATGCTTTATTAAACACGTCACTCTGTGGATCGAATATTTCCAGTCGCCGAACGACAGATCATACTGTTTGCACGTTAGAGTTGGCAGTTCTGCAATGCCCGTCGAACCGTTGCGACGGAGTACTGCGCGCAAATATAGAGGACGCCCTGAATCCGTCAGGATAGCTTTTTACAGAACGAAGCGTGGCAGTATATAATAACGTTGGCCGTTGCAGACGTCCTCATCAGTTAGGATGTCAATGTAGTGGCAGTGGAGGTAGCAGCAATAATGATCTGGTTGTCACTGCAAATCCAAGCTGGTCAACTGTTGCCGTTGTTGATGACTAACCGTCTTGCTGCCCAATACATAGAGCCAGCCATATCACTCTGTCGGTCCCTCTTATATTCCGTCGCTGTATCGCTCATGTAATGTCAATACTTTGCGCGCACGTATGCTATGTAAGACCTTGATTCATTGGGCTCAGCATGCCCAATGAGTAAGTTGCAGCAGCCTCAATTCAGTATGTAGTGGTGTATTTGTCTATTAATTTGATTCGACCTCGTGGTCGATGTAGACTGACTACAGTGGCCTACGATAGATGATGGTACACTCTGTTTCGGCGTGCGGGTGCATTTATCTAGAAGGACTGGCCTGCTACTTACAAGGCCTAGAGAAACATCAGTAGGGGTAGTTATTGTAGTTGTCGTTTCCCACTGGCCGGAGCCTTTTGGCCGAGAAGACGATATCCGGGCGGCCGTAACAACGACTGTAGTCGTAGCGGTAGTGGAGACAGCAACGTCTTGTAATGACTAGCCTGTTAGCCTGATCAGGCACTAGCACCAGCAATGCAGGAACAGGACGTAAAGCAGTTTAAGATGTTCAGCCACTTAGCTGCTATTGGCGGCGCTAAGACCAGAACAAACAGCTTCACACACACAGTGTCATAGTAACATTACTGTTCACAAATGCACCGTCATAGATCCAATGTACCGTCGGCGCTCCTCCTGGTCGCCGCTCGAGATAGGTGGTACGTCTGCGCCCATCGCCGCCGAGGGAGGAGTCTTCGAGAAAGTGGTGTCGCGTTGCCGAATGTGAGCGGCATCGGGAGAGAGGGGGGGGGGGGGGTCGCATCGTGTTAACGAAAAAGATGCAACGTATCAGCATAGGAGCTACTGATGAGGCAATCAACAATCGAGTTGAAGTTGACGAAGTACATGGACTCATATGCGTAGCGACAAGAGACATGTACGTCTGTTCTAGTATAGTTTGTTTGACTTATTTTTATGCCATTCGACTATTCCGTATATGACTGAGTGCAAGTGACTAGGTGATCTAGGTCTGACCAATGTATCAACAAGAAACGATACACTGGCTTAGTTTTTTTTTTTAAATACACAGAGACCTTTACTGTTGGCAATAAAAAGCTCGTACTCGATCTCCACGCTACAAGAATTGTTTACAAAAAGCGAATAATTCGAATAAGCTTGATTGCGCTACTGAGAAATACGGGAGTGCAGCAAATGATTATATATAGTACCAAATCAGTAACAGACGGAGAACATTACCAGAGTATTAGAAACTGTACATATATTTGTTGCTAATTATATCCTCATACTGGATGCAATAAACAACATCTTCAAGTATTCTATTTCTTGGACCTATTGGACTTATGATTCAAACTAACTTGTCGTATTTTGTAGCCAGTACGATTGTTGCGTTGGAAAAAAGACACGCGGGATTAAGCTGATTTGAAAGGCATAAACATGTTACATAGTGAAACAATAAAACCCATCCTGTTTCCAGCCATAAGGCACGCACTTCGTCTTAGGAATAGAATTCATGAATGATTTGGCTAAACAAAAGACTAGGGAACATATAGCAATAATTTGTACTAAGGAGCTACAATCAAGATCAAATCAGTTGGTTCCTTGCAAATTATGCCGGAAAATTGCTAGGCGAGTCCGCTGTCGGCACTGTGTAGGTGCGCGTTGTGAGATAACAACTTCAGGTGTTTTTAGTGAATCAGGCCAAAATGACCTTATCACAGAAGACGACTTGTGGAATAATTAGTTCGCTTCCGCAAACGAAGCTGCCTTGATTTTAATGAAATATCGTCTGCAACATTGCGTCAATGAACTACATCTCTTACTTATCAGGCAATATGGGTCGTCGTAAGTAGCAACACCCGCAGCTCTAAATGAATTGAACTGACGTTTATACACACGAAGCACAGCTTAGAGGAAAACTTCGTCGGCCTTCAGAAGGTTGACGCGTTGTGCATTCCGTAGAACTTAAATAATGTTAATAAGATAAAGGCCCTATCCGATACCTGATATCGAGAACGTGAGTGCAATCCCTGGTGAATGGGACACAGGCACAGGCTAAACCTTTTTTAAATACCACCTTACAAACTAGCCGACACGATTAGTCCGCAGAGATATAATGCAACTGAAACTTTGACTCAAGTCGTTCCGATAATTTAAATTTATAGAATATTACTTAATTCGACAGCGCCGGCCGTGGGCAATGAAACGCTAACTGGCTAACAAGGTTCCGTGCTAAGCAGGGTCTATAAGGACCCAGTGCGGCGGGAACACGGATGAAGCTGATCCTAGCGAATATAGCAGGAAATTAATCACACCAGACGACAATACCACAAGCCTAACACTGTATAGAAGTGGCCCTCTTTTCGCAGCGGCAAGCTGTATAGTACACCATTCGACAGATGCTGGAGAAAACTTTTCTTTTTACCTGTATATTCTGTCAGTTGGGCAATACGCCAAACGAAAACGCAAATAAAAGAGAGCCATCCGCTGAGGTCGCGCAGTCTATTCCTCAAAGCATTATAGGCGCAGCCATAATAATTATTATAATAAGTGGATAAAATTAATGAAACCAATCTCGTTTGTCGAGCTGCTCTAAAACAGGAGCCTTCTTGAACTCTTGGGTTGTTTGATATAAAAGGCCGAAATGGTGACACAAACAAGAGTTGTAGACATTTGAGTAACCGCTATGTTAGCACTGATACCTGTACAACATACTTCTGGTTATAACAAGTAGTATCAATGGCAATGTAACTAGTTTAGGAACATCGCGCCATTAGAGTGAATTCTTAAATTACGTCTTGTATTTAGTCAAAATACAAGTTTACGTGATCTTACGCTTGCAAAGTTGTTAATACGTGATCATTATTTTTGTTATTATTATTTTGTTAATAAGCATCAAACGACTGCGCGAGCTCTAAAGGTGGAAGATTAAATGTTTTTAATTTTGCACATCGTTTGACATGTCAGACATTGGCGGAGTTCAACATGGCCTCATGGCTTGTCAATGGAAAAAATATGGTTCCAGTGACCCTATAAATCGGACAAAATAGACAAAATTTTACGAAAATTGCTTTTATCAAAATAATAATATTTTCTAGTGTTAAATGATTGAACGTAAGAATTTCAATTCATTTCGTAAAGCTACATAAATGTTGTCCTGATTTTCGATAGTACAGCTTTATATTTTAAAGTGAGTGGTGGAATAATTCTATAGGCTTCAATATAATCGGAATGAAGTAACTTCGCTGGGCAGCTATCGCGGTAGCGGTTGAAAATTTGTACAGAGTTCCCATCACTTTGAGCTTAATGTTCGAAATAGATGACACCTATTAACTTTTCTTAAGAGTGGCTTCGGGTGTAGGTGTGCCTCGTTGTTTTAAAAGAAGTTATTCATACCCCATATAACTTCTAATTAGCTTTGGACATTTATGTCCTTTACGAATGGTTGGCCATAAATACTGCCTGTACTTGATATTTATTTATGTGACTGACTCAACTATTAATGTTATCCTTATTTCCATACAAAATTTTTACTCCAGTAAAAATATTTTCTCTGCGCAGAATTTCTCGAGGACTGTTGCGATTGTTTTTTTTTTTCAGAAATGGAATGCTTATTGTAAAAGATCTGTGGACTTTCTTAAATAATTGCAGTTTTCGTTTGGGCAACAGTGGATCCTTTGTAGCACCTAAAATTAGGACCGGTTGAAAGGCAACTTTTCATTCAGTGGATCTTTCCTAAATCCTTATGATTCGTTTTGAGTCATAGATTTTACATAGAAGCGATGTCTGGTGATAGGTAGTGTCACGTTGATACCAAACAAGTTTACATATATATATAAAATACGTACTTCTTAGGCCTATTATACTGCATCAATGCAACACAGTTGATCTAAGAAGGCAATCTAGTTATTTGTTGAGATGTTTTCGCTGCGAAGGCCTTCATGTTCTCTCTTACTGTACCTGAATCACGTTGTTGTAATAAGACGGGTCTTATAGTAATAAATACTATTTTATTATACTTAAGATTCGACTTTTAGGCAGGACGTCAGAAACCTCAAAAGGCTGACTAAAGTAGTTCCCTCTTCATTACCTAACGATTCTTGATGGCCTAGAATATGTTGGGTTGAAACACAAGTAACTACAGGTTATTTTTAATGCTCCCTGTTTCTTGCTTGTTTATGTCTATATACTATTCAAAAGTTACCGTTTCCTCTATAAGTCTGTCGTATTTTAATTGTGCGGCAAGCAGAGTTTTGTCGAATTAACGCCTCAGGAGTAGAAGTTCCAAGTGGAAAATGACGGCATTCTTGAAACCTACTTTATTCCGTTTCTTGCGCTGGCCAAACAGCTGCCACGCTGGCAGGGGTGCCACGCAATGCGAAGATTTTATAATTGAAAAGACTTCTTAAAACTGATTTGCAAGATCCAATAACGGCGTTTTAGAATTACGAAATGCGCTCTGGCCGGGCCTGCCACTTGAGGCCCATTAAAAGCACCTTTGAATGAACATGACTGGCAAACAATTTGTACATTGAGCAATAAAATGGACTGCAGTAGGATTTACTCAGAAATGAAGAGCCTGTGTGCCTTATGAACTAAGTGAACATTACAAAGACACACAGCTCTTTATTGCCTGTCAGCAGCTCCTCGGCACCGAAAAACACAGCAAAAATGATGGGTCTCTCCACAGAATTGTCATCGGTGATGGTATACCCACGTCGAGATGAGTGAAAAACAAAATGGGCAGCTTTGAAAAATATATCCAACCTCAGTTCAGTCGGATCTCCATACCGAAAAGTCAATGACTTGCATTTGGTATTGTATTGGACTGGAAGGGTCTCATACAGTAGAAAATGTTCAAAAAGAAAAAAGATCACCCAGCTTTGTACATTGCTCACCTGCATCCGGTAAAAAAAGGCGTTCCAGTTGGAAGAAGGCCACACACAAGGCAAAATCATTTTTCCCTACGACGATGCCCCGTCGTCCCCGCAAGGCCTCCCCGCATGATGTTAAGCAGAGGATTTTTTTATATCCATCATATTCTTCAAAACTCGCTCCGACGGATTAATACTTTACGATCCTCAGCAAATAAAATGACTGGTCGTACACTTGATAGTAAAAAACCTCTCGATCTCTGCTATGTAAAGCACCAGACTCTTTT